AGAGACCACCACCGGAACCCCCTTGCAGATCGACAGGCACTCCCCAAATCCCCCTGCACCCCCAGGGACTCCCCCCCCACGCCATGAGGGGGTTCCAACCAGGACACCCTGCTTTGGGGCAGGCGGGGAGGGCAGGAGGGTCAGGGCAGTGCCAGGGCAGGGACCTGGTGCTGTGGGGCCTCTGTCACGCCATGACCTCTGCCCCCAGCCCTGGGCCACCATCCCTCCCACACTGGAGCACCTGGTGTGCATTAGGGGCAGCACCAGGAGGATGATGATGGGGATCCATCACATCGACCCACAGCTAACGGGGAGTAGGGCTGAGCATGTCCATGTGCCTGTGGGCTGTCCCCAGCACCTGCCCCAGCCAGGGTGGCATTGTCCCAGGGCACTGGGCATCACCGCTGCCTTAGCCAGTGATGCCACCGGGCTCCTGGAGCCTGGTGGGGGTGGAGGAAGAGAGGATGGTCAGGCCAGTGGGTCCCCAGCCAGGTGACAGCCACCGCCAAGGAGGAGCAAAGAGGCTTTGCAAAGCTGCGGGCATGGGTCTGGCTTCAGGAGCCCACAGCCTCCCTGGTGCCCTGAGCCCTGCCCTGTCCCCAGCTGCTGGTGTCAGTGTAAGGATGTGGGCAGTGTGAGGACGCGTGTTTCATTTCATTTTATTTCTCTTCTCTGTTACGCTACAATCACCCAAGGGCACTGCAAAAACTGGGGAGGCAAATGCAGAGACACAAACCTGGCTGATTAGCACTGATGAAGGGAACCTGGTCAGCTGCACTAATTAACAGGGACACAGGGGAGTGGGAACATGTTCATTGCAGCGTGGTCAGCTGATGGAGGACTTCCTGAGCTCAGGTGATGAGAACAGGGAGGCCAACAGAAACAGAGCCTGAGTCACAGTCCTGATGAAAGGGACACAAAAAGGGTGACAAGACCAAGGCCCCAGCAGCCGCTCGTGCGGAGCCACCATCGGGAGATTAGAGGCATCGCTCCCGGGTAGGGTGACTTGACCTTAGAAAGCAGGGGATGCTGCTGGATGCAGGATGGGGGGGGGTGG